TGAGAAACAGCATATCGATATCCGGATTCACCTCGAAGTAGGGTATCTGCGCGAGTGTCCGACCGGTGCCCTCCACCACCAACTGGTCATACGTCACGTGTTTGTCGTGTTGTCCATCGAAAATGACCACAAGTTTAACGCCATTTATGTTATTATTCTGGGAGTCATTCAAAACCCACTGAAACTTATGGAAGTCCGCGGCGGACGACACGATAATGTTAGCGCCGGCAGCCGTGAACTCCTGGCGCATCTCATAATTCTCAAATGTGGGGCTCAACGGCATGAATGTTAGGCCTAAAAATTTGACGGCAAACCGGAGTACGGCGTGTTGTATAGAGTTTTGGCCGTAGAAAGCAATTCTGTCCCCTTTGGTGACCCCCCTGTCCACGAGGGCTACCGCCACGGCATTGGCACGTGATTTGAGTTCACCTATAGTTAACTGTTTGCCACTTAAGGCTTCCGTCTATGAGTGAAATAATGTGTTTTAAAAATAATTGTTTGCGAATAAACTGTAACTTAGAAATATTTAGTCATTTAGATTATTATCAGGTATAATTAATTAAATTATTGGTGTAGGTACGAATAATCAAATTTGTTTTAAAATAATAAAATCAATTTACAATTTATGAATTAATTATATTATTTTTAATTATTTATTTAGGTTAGTGAATGCTAATGGTGTAGTATAAATTTAATTATACATATAATTTATCACAATTTAAGCATTTCAAATTTATTAACAAACAATTTAAATAAAAGTAGTTTATACTAAAATTAAAAATATAAATAATACTGTATAAATATACTTATAAATTATAAGTTATAATGTTTCAAAGTGCTTTAAATTAAATATTTAACAAATTACATAATTGTTTAATATAAGGCTATGCCAATTTTATCGCGTTAAATTTTAATTTATCACTTAAATTGCTCTATGTTCTAGCTTAAAATACAATGATTAAAAATAAATTGAATACATACCAAACACACGGCATTACTATCAAGTTTTTGCAATTTATCCCAAATATAAGCGCCGACTGTTTTGAATTCACTTTCAATCACAGGTCTATTGGATTGTAATATTTTATCCTTGCCCATTTTAAACTAGATATTTTTACCTAGTATACTTTTTACTAGTAAATGTAAATTTATTTGTTGAACTCAATTTATATGATTTTTATTTATACCAAATTTTCTAATATTACGATTAGTATACATTTTAATATTAAACGTGTGATCAGGGTCCTTGAGCTATTGCAAAACTATTAGTCCGCAAAATAAAATCCAAAAGTTTTTACCCACATTTAGGTAGTTAAAAAAGTGGGTTATAGTTTTGGTTTGTACCCCCACCCCGTCATTAATGACGCTACTAACGCACTTTAACACAAACCTATAGGTATAACATGGGTTTTTTTAATCATAGGAAATATACAATATCGTAATAAATATCAATAAAAGTTAATTGCTTTGCAAATGCATGTTTAAATTGATGCATGTTATAAAAATAATAAATAATTATTATAAATTATAAATCAAGGCAAATGTGTTTTATAATTATCTAAAATAAGTAAATGTAAAATAATTTTGTTGAACTCAATTTATATGATTTATATTAATACCAAATTTTCTACTATTACGATTAGCATACATTTTAAGATTAAAAGTGTGATCAGGGTCCATGAATTTTGGTGCAAAACTATTAGTCCGGAAAATAAAATCAAAAAGTTTTTACCCACATTTAACTAGTAAAAAAGTGGGTTATAGTTTCGGTTTGTACCACCTCACACCCACCCCCACTCCGTCATTCATGACACTTTAACGCACTTTAACACAAACCCATAGGTTTAACATGGGGTTTTTTGATAGTTTAGCCGTTAAGGACTTTGTTTTTCCTATGGAGAATCCCAGAAAAAGTGGGCAAAATATTTACGATTTACGTAATGACGATGTGTTTTCAGGCCCATGTTAAACCTATGGGAAAATGGTGTATACTGTATAACTTTTCTCTCAAACATAACTCAATGTATAATAATCTCTGTACTCGTGTTATAATGAACTGCTTTATATACCAATATATAAGAAATGCTGTACATATATATTATATAAAACAAATAAATTATATATTTATATAATTGCATATAATTGGGTGCCTTTATTATATAATGTTAGCCAAGAAACTAGTTTTTTCAATACTTATGTATTAGTCTGTAGTGTAAGTCATGTCTTACATCCCATTCCACTCTCGTTAGGGATTTCCATAAATTAATGACATTTTTGTTATACAAATATTTTATAAACTATTTGCCTTTTTTACCCTATGTAATAGGAAATATACACTATTTCTGACGTTGACTGTGATTTCGTAATAAATATCAATAAAAGTTATGTTTAGATTCATGCTATAAAAATAATAAATAATAATTATAAATGATTTAAGGCAAATGTGTTTTATAATTTTCTGATAATTTAATAGTACCCTATGATACTATTATATAATTAAGCATATTAATAATTTCTATAAATTATTATTTAATTAATTTTAAAAGTAATTAAATCCATTTAATTTTAATGCAATTTAAACTGTAACAAGGAACAATTCGCTCATTTAATACTCTATACTTTAGCGCAGAGGCGCACAGATATGACCGTTTGCGGCCAACTAGCGATGTATGCATTTTATAGTTTAATACTATATTTACAACACTAGTATTTTATGAATCAGGAATTATACATTAATATTAATAATAACTTTTTAAGATTATATTAAATTTTATTACTCATAGCAAGGTATAACTTAGGATTAAATTATGTGTCAATGCTTTACTATCATATGAATCACAACATGCAATAAGGATCTATCTATTTTATTTATAGAATTATTATTTTCTAGCTTAATAGAATATTTAATTTTAATTTATATGACACAAATAATCAATAAAATGATTATAAACTATTAATCCAGTGATTCTAAACTATGTTTATTAAGTTTAGATAAATAATTCTATTAAACTCCATTTATCGTTGGTTTAGTGTATTTTTATTAGATTTGCTTATAATTTTATTATTAATTGCAATTTTGTAAATTTAACAAGTTATAATGATTATATAACTTGTTAAATAATTAAACAAATTAAAAATTACTATAAATAATGATTTAATTAAGTTTAAAAGTAATTAAATCATTTTTATTTTCAATACAATTTAAACTGTAATAAACAGCAATTCGTTCATTTAATACAACTATATTTCAGACATAGATCCTTATAGCAGAATTGCGTTCATATACAGTATAAGTTAAAACATTTTAGTATTATTAATAAAACATTTTAATTTATTTTTAAAATATCTTAATTACTAAATAAGAGTGTAAATTATTTTTAAAAATATATTACTTTTTATTGTTTCATTTTTAAAAACCATTCAAAAACTGGCACTGAAATATAACATTTAATTTTTATTATAACCTATTTATATGTTAATACTTGTTACTTTATTTAAGGGTTTAATAGTAAACTCATTCATTTAATAAACATTAATTACATTTTTTAGATTGCATTTTAAAATTAAATTCACTTACTTTTAATGTGTCGGGGTCATATTTGTAGTCCACTGGGTCAACACCAGTTTTTGTACAAATAATATAATTAATAAACACAAAAATTAAATAAATGACAAACATTTTGATTTTAAGTTTAATATGTTATATTAAATTAATGAATACATGTTTAGATATTAACTTGTTTATATACCTTGTTACAAAATCAAAAAAGTTATGAAATTAGTATGAATTTAAGTCCTAATGCTCATAATGTGTAAGATTATGTTTTAGGAACAAGTACATTTAAATTGTATATTCTTGTTTATTCAGGGCTACCTCATAATGAACATTAAATATGTCAGAGTATAGATTTTAGTTACAAGTAATAACCGAGATATTAAACAATCTTTCATCTTGGAAGTTATTGAATGACTTTATATAAATATAAACAATTTATATAAAATGTAGTTTCATTGCTACTTTATTTTTGTATAAAATAATAACTTTATGTAATTTATTATTGAATATGACTGTGTTGATGTAATTTTAAGAGATTATAATTTATAACTTTTGTGCTTTTTATCATGTTTAAATTATATAAATATTATAAAATAATTTTATTAAATTAATTTACATTAATATTAATTATAATTAAATTATAAATATTCCAGAATACTATTAATTTTAAATAATATTACATTGAACGGAAAGTCTTTACAAACTTTGAACCCTATGATAACTTCTTATTTATTAGATTATATTTTTAAGTAAATGTTCATATATGTTCAGTTGTTTGTCTACTAAGTAATAATGGAGTATCACTTTGTTAAATTAATCCTTCTACTTTTGGCATTAAAAAATGTCAATGCCCCCGATTTTCCCCATTGAAAAAACTTCGCGATAGTGTTTTACGTGAAGAACCCGAGGGCGTTTATAAAGATATGGTTAAACTCATATGACCCTGAGCATGCAAGACAAAGTAGCGAATGGTTGCTACCTGGTCAAAAGCCGGAAGTACAAAAGATTTAAAAATTTTTATTTGTACAAATTTCAAACTCACCGGATTTGTATCTTACTTATCACACACCAAAGAAATTGCGTGCAGAGTTTCAGCAATGGAAGTGCATAATGATCGTGGCACTTTAGAAGAAGCAAGTCTTTACATACGAGATATTACCCGATGGACAAACCGTAGACAGTGGTGTTTATCTTAGGTTTCTTGAACGTCGAGTGCTCCCGGAAGTTACTCGAAAGAAAATGGCAAAGCCTATTATCTTACATGACAATGCTAGACCCCATAAACATCG